CTCAGATTCTCCAGCATCTGCAGTTCCTGCTATCTCAGATCCTGGGATATACCAGGATAACTCCAATGGGACATTTGGGTATGTGGGGCTCTGTAATTCTTGGTTTTGTCAAATGTACCCAGACACTCATTGGTCAATTCAACAGAACAGACTGTTAGAGACAGTTTTTGATTCCATATCAGTACCCTGTATTTATTTCTTGATGATTCTTTGGAACAATTGATCACTTAGTTATTCCCTCATCATGTCTGAAACTAAATGAGTCTTAGTATGTCCATTGTCATAGTTGTATGATTTGAAGAGTTTTCATTTTTGCTTTATTTTCTCTCAGCATACTCCTTTCTTTGTGTGGAGCAATCCTAAGCATCACATTACATTTAATATTGATTCCAAGTGTCCGCTGTGGTATAATTATAGAATTATTGGAGCACAGAAAAAGGATGTTCAATCCATTATGTTCATGCTGGTCCTTCTAGGAAGTGATTCAGGAACTGTCACTCTCCCAAGCTCTCCCTACGTCCCTGCACTTTGTTCCTCTTCGAATATTTAGAAAATATAGAAATATTTATGGTTCAGAGAAAGGTGACATCATGTCTGCACCTCCAGACAAACAGGCCATGTATCTTAATCCCATTTTCATCATTCAGTTCATATCCCTGAAGGTTCTGGCATTTCAGGTGCATATTCGGACACCTTTTTAAGTGAATTGAGAGTTTTTTCCTCTACTGCCCTTTTAGGCAGGGCATTCCAGAGCTCCACTCACCCTCTGATTGAAAAGCATTTTCCTCATCTCCTCTCAAATCTTTCTCCCAATCACTTTAAATCTATGCCCCCTAGTTACTGATAAGTGAAGTAGGTTCTTCCCATCCACACCATCTCTCACAACCTTACATGCATTAATCAAGGATCTTGTTCTTTCTTCATATTTGGGAGATTGAACGTTGGTTTTAAAGAGATTTCCATCTACCTATGACTGCACAGTAAATCCCATGTTATGTTACAGATATTATGCAGTTGAAGGGGGAAGCATCAACTGTAACATCAAGAAGCATGATGTAAATGTATTAATTTGAATGACACTGCAGTCTGGTTCTGCTAATTTACCTGGGCATGTTTTAAAGGCTTCTGACTGAATCAAGTTTCCCATCAAGCCCTGTATAGTTTAGAATGAGGAATATTGGAATTTATTAAAATGAATAAACCAGAGACTAAAACTACATTCAATGTAAGAGTTTTATGGCTGCATTTCCCAGGATAGCCACTGGAATGCAGCACCGTGTTGCATACGATCTGTGCTATTCAGCACCAGCTAGTGGACATTAGTCTTTTTTCAGCTGTAATTGGTTGATTTATGCGACCTGGATAAGAACAGGTTCAGACCAGTGAAATGAAGATCTGATCCTTTATTGTCAGTGTGAAGGTAGCACTTAAACATCAGAATTTTAAAATTTGAGACATTTTCTGAGAAGTAAGTTCTACTGTTTTGGTGGCCACCGTAAAGAACAAACACACATTTGGTGAACAATGAAGATATATTTAAATTTGACACAACATAAAAGTGGTCAACAAAGCTCAACAGTGGTTATGCTGCATTCTTGCAATTAGATTGAAGTTTTGTTCAGTGGATTTGTTATTTTACTGTGTAGTTTCATTGAAAGTTGTCAAGCTTTGGGACAAAGATATTTTGGAGTAACTGTCAGTGAAGCATTTTAACTGTGAAGTAAACAAAATTATTGTTTTATTGGAGTGGGTTCTATTTTTACATCAGATTTTTTAAAACATGAAAATATTTCTGTTACTTTTTCAGTCTTCTAAGTTTTAACTGAGACAAAATGTGTTTGCTATGTGAAGCAGAAGGGATGGAACCCACGGTTGTTACCTGGCACTTACCTCATAAGCTCTTGCCCAAATCATTCGAGTGATGAATAAATAAAATATTTTGCCTTTTGAATGATGTTGACAGTGTGACCTCTTTGATAACATTTCTACATATTATAATGAGCTTTTGTTTTTAAAATGTGCATTTGTTATTCTGAAACTTGCCCATCTGTACCCTTATGGCTACATCTGTAATCACTGCATACAATTTTTATGCTCTCTTTATTACTAATAAATAGTAAATGACAAATTGCAAACGACAAATTTGATTTGAAGATGATTAAGTTATCTCTTTGTGTCCTCTGAGATTTTTCAGACTTTACTGGACCATGGGACCTTTTCTTTGAGAAGATTGAGGTTTTTTATTACGTTCTAACGGAGCGTTAAGCATTTTGTTGAGTGATAGCAGCTTAAGTTGATTCACATTTTTACGCCCCAGTGAAAAGCCAACACTTTTCTGCTATGGAAGTCCAGTGACAGCATACCCAAGATTGAGACCCCCAATTTGATTAACTAAGAGTAAAATATGGTTCTGATCTACAACAGAATGTTCTGGAGTATTATGTTTGTAGACTTTCTAGCAATAGACCCTAGAACTGTGGCTGATAGCTGGCAGCATGTTATTGTCTTCTGTTCAAGGAGCTAATCCCTTAGTAAGTTGGGTCAACTAACAGGAAATGAAATACAAGTAGTGACTTTACTGGTGGAGACTGAAATGTTGCATTGCAAAAATATTTAATGGTTCTCTTAGTATATAACCCTGAGGAACTAGGTGCAGTGATATCCTTGGAGTGAAATGTTTGACCTCCAACAACCACAATCGTGTTCCTTTTGCTAGACATGATTCCACTGACATGATTCCCCTGACGCCCATAGACTCTAGTTGTGCAAGGGCTCCTTGATGCCATACTCTGTCAAATATTGTTTTGATGTTAAGGACATTGACTCTTGCCTCACCTCTGGAGTTTAGGTTTTTTCTGTCCATGTTTGGATCAAGGCTATAATGAGGTCAGAAGTTGAATGGTCAGGGTATCACTGAGAAAGTGCTGCTTAATCGTATTGTTGCTAACTCCTTCAGTTAGCTTGCTGATGAATAAGGTGTTGATTGATGTGGTTGGACCTGACCTGTCGTCTTGTGGACAGGAAGTACCTGAGTACTTGAAGCATTATTTCATAAGTATTTACAGTTACGCATCATACATTTTCAATATTTCTGCAAGATCCATATGAGGAAATTAGATGCCTTACAGTTAAGTAATGTCATCTCAATTTCAGCTCCTTATGGAGATTTGGTGAAATTAGTCTTTACAATGTTTAGTACTGAAATTACCTTCTTTATCAGATTTACTATAAAAATGCTGAAAAATAATTCATACTGTTTCCTTTTATCTCCCAAATGTCCCCATTTCTGGTTGTCGTTATTCCTTCTCTCCATCCATGTGGTTCTCCTTCAATTGCACTTCATTTTTGTTCACTATTTATTTAGGTGGCTAATTCCATCAAACAACCTTGCCTGAGTCTTTGTCATTTGTAAATAATCTTACAGCGACATTTGCATTAACGTTTGACTACTGATCTGAGTGCTTGCTGCCGTCACGTTTATATGTGGATATAGGGCACTGGTGGGTTTGTTCTCTGCACTGATTGTTTAATTCCATCAGTGAACTGTACCTCATAGAAATTATATTCACACTTACTATTCAGTCAAATATATAGTGTTTCTTGGTGTTAGCCACTGTATCTCTTCCATTGTTAGAGTTCAGCAACTTTTTATTCTCTCAAATGATGTTTCTTGAATTCAAGTGGGTCAGAATAACATTAGACTGTGGTTTAGGTTTTTACGGTCAAATAAGGTTAACAAACAATACATTAAGGCAATAATTCAGCAGAGGTTGTCTAGTTTGAATATTATTTATGTGGTATCAGACAATCTCCCAAATTCCAGCACAAAGACTGAAAAACCTTCCATCAGATGAGGCCACATAGGAATTATTAAGCTCCAAGTTGTTCTTCCAAAAGTTCTGTTGACTGTAGATTCATGAGCATGTCTTTACATACTGATAGCCTTGTGCTGATACTTCAGTGTTTCATTTTATTATATTATTTCATATAGTTCATTCTTCTAAATTGTAACCTTCCATAATTTTGCATTATCTGCTTAAAGGGAAGAAAAACAAATTGCGAGTATATTATTTGTCCTGGTTAAGAAACAAGATATTGCACAATGATCCTGAAGTAGAGAAAAAACAAGGCTGGACAACAGTTGGAGATTTAGAAGGATGCGTACACTACAAAGTTGGTAAGAAAATTATGTGCACTTTAAACCAAAGTAGTAGAGCTATAAACATGTTGGCATGTCTGCAGCATTATAAATTATATGAAAAATCTATATTACTTTCATCTGCCGTTGATCTGCAATATGCATCTGTGTGTGAAATCCTTTTATTAAATCATTTGCTGGCATTTTGTTACATAATTTAAAATTTCACTGCACTAAGCCAGCAGCTCTCAGTGGCTACTGTTTGCTCTATCTTGATATATTTACTCAGTATATAATTATTCTAGTACGTTAATTTTTTAGCTAAAAGTGGCATCTAATTTGTGTAATGGCACTGGATTTAGAAAATATTAAAAAATGATCTTGAAAATATGGTTCTGAATCCTATAATACTAAAGTTGTGATTGGAAAATTGGCTGTTACTATCACTGCTTCTGTGGAGACTTTGCGTCGACTGAAGAAAAATCTCTCATTCCTGCCAGTTGTAAGTCAAAGGTGAACTGAATTTTGGCAGGTCTAAAGTTGCTTCAGCACCATGAAGTCATAAAATTGCTTTCAGGCACTTTTGATGACCATATTTGAAATCTCACTCTCTGGTATTTAAGTACTGGGAAGTGCAAATAACGCTCAGCTGGAGATACTGTTCTCTTAACATTGGTGAAGGAACAGAATTTGTATGCTTAACCCTGCACCTGACTATGCTAAGATATTGTGTGCGGTAATATAAATCAGGAAGTATACACAGGATTTATCGCAAAATTGTGTGTCAGCAAACAACAGAAATCAAAAGGAAGTGAAGAAGGGGACTAGAGGTCGCAAAAGCTCAGCGGCAAAGATAAAATAAAATGATCTGCATTTTAATTTAAAATAAATCCCCAACACAAAATTCTGAAATAATAAAGCTTAACATCTGTAAGAATAAATTTTCAGTGTCATGGTTGCTTGTTAATGGTAATGATTTACCACACTGTTTTACAGTCATTGGTTGGTTAGCTCAGTTTGAGATGCAGAGTCATGCCAACTGTGTGGGTTCAATTCCCGCACTGACTGAGGTTATCATGAAAGGACTCTCCTTCTCAACCTGTCCCCTCACCTGTGGGTTAAATCACCACTACTTATCTCTCTCTCATGAGACAGCAGCCCTATGATCTGATAGGTCTTTGGCAACCTAACCTTGAAAATCTGAATGCAGAAATGCTGAGATTTCCTTGCATGTTTTATTTGTATTTGCGTGTATTTTAATGCCAAGTTTGTTGGTGAAGCACTGATACAGCAAGGCTTTGGGTTGAGCAGAATGATTTGGACAACAGCTTCTAAGCTTTAATAATTAACTGCGCAGGTGCTGACTCTGGAAATTGTTGTCAAATTTACTACATCATAATACGTGCTGTGAACTTCACCATATTCTAATTCCTAAATTAATGGTCTGAATTTTGAAAGGCTGTTCTCTTTTTTCCCGCTTTCTTTAATCTAAGCTCCACCATTAACTTCCTTCTCAATGTCAGAAAGGTTTTGAATCAAATTTTCTTTATTCTCCCATCTCTGCTGCAAGAATCAGTTTATCCTGATAATGAGTTCCACTTTCTAATGCCATCTAGTCTGAGCATCTAGTTGTTTTTATATAAATGGCAATTTTTTTATATAGCTAATTAACCCATCGAATTTAAATTTTGTTATGTTCAGATTGATAAATGTTGTCAGTTATGCGTGAGGCAGTGTAGTTAGGGAACAGAAAAGAAATGGAGAAGCAAAAGTGCTTTTTTTTTAAAACTATTACTGAGAAACTTTGATAAACTTCCTTATTGAAAGTGTAATGTGACTCTTCTCCTCTTCCCCCATCTCCACTAATTACATGTGGCAAATCTTCAAAAACATAAGCAAAGGCTGGAAATACATTTACATTCCTGCAGAAGAGGGGATAAAATAAGATTAGAGCCTTCTGTTAAATGGCAGGATTCTTGTTTCATCCTTCCCTGTTACAGTGAAAGTTCACAACTGAGTTGAACTACCACGAGTATGAGATTTAGAAGGGTCTATGGTAGAGGTTCTAACCAAATGATAAATGTATGGAAAGTTTAAAATTTACCATGACATTTGATTTTCTTTCTGTCTGCTGTTTAAATTCAGTGCTTAAATTTCGTTAAATGGGAAGGAGCTTTAGAACTTACAGTTTATAAATGTTACACAAGATAAAGATGTCCAAATACTACTTGGATATTAAGAATATAATTGAGGTAAAAGAGTAAGAGTTACAGATATGGAAATTGCTATAAGTTGTGATGCAATTTAACAAAGCCATCCGTGGGCTCATTTGTGGATGTCCTTAGGTAAGGAGACCAAAAGTCTATGTTGTTACATCAGTTGCAGTCTCACCATAGCCCCTTATAATTGCGACAAGACTTCCTTAGGTTGGGGACTTGCCATTTCTTAAACAAATATTCTGCTTCTCAATTTTTCTGACCGAAGTCTGATCCTTGCAAAATGTCACCCTATTTGACCCCTGTCCATTTTATACTTGGGCTCATCACTTCCCTGATTTGTACTGTTTTTCAGCCTTTTTTGCTTCTCATCAGCTTACTCTCCCACCAGCTGTGGATTTTCAGAAACTTAAATATATGTGGAAGATTTGGCACTAAGTTCACATTGAAACTGTAATGGGCTATGGAGCAGGCAAAATGAAATATGTTGACATAGCTATGAGTGATTATGAGGTGGCAGAAGGGCTTGGGATGGCATTGATGTCTATGGGGGTGAGAGTGGAGGAAATTTTTTTTCAACTCAGCACTGTGCCAGAGCACTGAGTCGGCCCTTCCATCCAGACCACGTCTGTACCCAGCAGCCTCCACATTCATACTGGGGTAATCGAGCCTGATTCCCGGGGATCCTCATCACCCTGGGATGAAAGTTCCTGCCCCTAGGCCACATTCTCTTGGGCCACAATTCTGGAGCCAGGAGTTGTTTTGACTCTGCACTCATAACCTGACAACAAAAATTTCAGCCTTTGCTTTCAAAGGAGTATAGAGTCATACAGCATAGAAACAGACCCTTTGGTCCAACTCGTTGGCACCAATCTGACTAGTCCCATTTACCAGTATTTTGCCCAAATCCCTCTAAACCCTTCCTATTCATATACCCATCCAGGTGTCTTTTAAATGTTGTAATTGTACCTGTCTCCTCCACTTTCTCTGGCAGCTCGTTCCATGCACACACCAGCCTCTGTGTGAAAAAGTTACTCCTCGGGTTCATTTTAAAACGTTCCCTGCTCACCTTAAACTTATGCCGTCTAGATTTGGACTTCCCCAACCTAGGAGAAAGACCTTGGCTATTCACCCTATCCATATCCTTCATGATTTTATAAACCTCTATAATGTCACCCCTCAGCTTCTGCTCCAAGGACAAAAAAAACCCAGCCTATTCAGCCTCTCCTTATAACTCAAACCTTCCATCCTGGCAACATGCTTGTAAATCTTTTCTGCACTCTCTCAAGTTTAACAACATCTTTCCAATAGAAGGGCAACCAGCTTTTGTACTTAGTATTCTAAAAGTCCTGTATTCCAATGTCCTGTGTAGCTGCTACATGATGTCCCAACTCCTATACTCTATGCACTGACAAATAAAGGCAAGCTTGCCATACACCACCTTTACCACCCTGTCTACCTGCGACCCCACTCTTAAGGAACTATGCACCTGCACCTGTGGGTCCCTTAGTTTGATAAAACTCCCCAGGGTCCTTCTGTTAAGTGTACAAGTCCTGTCCTAATTTGCCTTATGAAATACAACAACTCACATTTTTTTAAATTAAACTCCATCTGTCTCTCCTGGCCCATTGGCCCATCTGATCAAGGTCCTGTTGTACTCAGATAATTTTCTTCACTGTCCACTACACCACCCATTTTGGTGTCATCTGCAAACTTACTAAACATACCTCCTATATTCACATACAAATTATTTATATAAATGATGGAAAGCAGTGGACCCAGCTCTGATCCTTATCACACACTGCTAGTCACAGGCCTCCATTCTGAGAAGCAACCCTTTACCATGACCCTCTGTCTCATACCTTCAAGCCAATTTTGAGTAGTTAGCATGTAGTTGCTTTTATGGAGGGGCAAGATTAGCATGCTATAGAGAACGAGCTAAAAAGATATGCTGATGGTGTTGAATAAAGTGAAGTGAAAGACTTGCATGGAACATAAACTTTGGCATAGATTTCTTGAGCCAAATGGACTTTTTCTGTGCTCTGTTGTATATGTTATGCAATAAAAATTGCTAGATAATGATAAAAAATATTTTAATACATTTTGGCAGAGATTCCTGTTTGCCTTCCTTTTGGCAGGCACTGAATATATCGAGTAGGCGCACTGATTTATATTGAAATTACTAACCCTTTAATTTTTGTTGCACATGCTATACTAAATTCGATTAAAAGATTTCCTTAATTTTTTTTCTTTTGACTTTTAACAAGTTGTTATGTAATTACATACATGGTGCTAACAATATTTGAATTAAACTAGATGTAAAAGAATTAAAATGAAGAGCATAATTTGATGTTTTGAAATTTTGAGCATTGAAAAAATAATGAGACATTTGTGGCCATTTGGGCTAACTTTTTCATGGTAAAATGAAACCTTTTGAGTGGTGTTTTCCCAAAGTTAATTAGCAATTCATGACTGCAAGATTTTCCAAGATATGCACAGATCTTTATACTTTCTTCCCATGATATTTTACAGTTTTCAATTGTGTTTCTATTTTCTGCATTTTTTATAAAAACCTTGCTATAACATTGTGCTAACTAGTGGTTGACTTAGTAACCCTACTTTAAACCTGTTCACCTAAAGTAAGCTGCATATGTTTTAATTATCAACAAAATGCTAACAATTAATTTCCTTTTCTAGTAAAATATGAAAGGATCAAGTTTTTAGTAATTGCTTTGAAGAATTCTGTGGAAGTCTATGCATGGGCGCCAAAACCATACCACAAATTTATGGCCTTTAAGGTAAGTAATAATTACTGAAAATGTTTGCTGTAGTTTTAGTCTTAGTATTAGTTACTACTAGCCTAACCAAGGTCCAGATAAGTAACACGTGCCTCCGAGTTAGAAAATTGTGGGTCCAATTTGCACTCCTCGAAACTTGAACCCGTAAATCTAGCCTGAAATTCCAGTGCAATTGGGAGTGCTGCATTGTTGCAGGTGCCTTTTTTCAAATGGGTGGTATAAAAGATCTTATAGCACTTTTTTTCTAAATTAACATGGAATTGTGGCCAATGTTCATCATTCAATCAATATCACTTCAAGTCAGATTATCTGGGTATTATCACATTGCTGTTTGTGTGGGCTTACTTTTGGAAACTATCTCTGAGGTTTCCTTTAAGAGAAGTTTGACAAATGAGTAGGATAGATAAAGGGGAGCCAGCAGCAGTTATGTATTTTACTTTCCAAAGCTCAATTGATGTGCCACATTAAGTGTGTTATGATCCCAGCTGATGATCTTACAGGACAACTCAGATCTCAGCGTGAAGCCTGGCTTAGTGGAGTTTAGTTTTGCAGTGATTACCATGATGGTTAGTCACTAGACATATTGGCACAAAACAACCAAAATTTGTTTCACGTGCGAACCCAAATTTATTATCCAAAAGAGGGGGAAAAAAGCAGAGCAATATTATATTTATATATGAGAGAGAGAAATAAAAAGTATAAAAAGATCTTAAATAGCAAAATCACATCTAATCCTCTTACCCAGCAATGTCAGTTTATCCCTATACTCTCTGGAATTTAGAAGAATAAGGGGAGATCAAATTGAGGTATTCAAGATGGATAAAATGTATAGATAAAGTAGATGTGGAGCTGATCCTTCCTCTTATGGGGCATTCTAGGACAAGAGGTCATAGTCTTAGGATAAGGGGTAGCGAATTTAAAACAGAGTTGAGGAGAAACTACTTCTCCCAAAAGGGTTGTGAATCTGTGGAACTCACTACCCCAAAGTGCGGTGGATGCTGAGAGTAAATTTAAGGAAGAGTTAGACAGACTTTTAATTGGTAATGGGTTGAAGGGTTATGGAGAGAAGGGAGTGGAAAATGGGGATGAGGAGCATATCAGTCATCTGTTACCCACACAGTGTGAGAGCATGGTTCCCAGTTTGACCTTGATGTCAGGGGTCTTAATTAAAACTCCAGATGCTGTCCAAAGAGTCTGCAAAATAACATGGATAAAATGAATGAGTGAAAATTTGGCAGATGGATTCTAGCATGGCAGAACCTGAAATTGCCCATTTTGGTAGGAGAAATAGGAAAGCAAAATATTACTTAAAATGGAGCGAGACTGCAGAATGCTGTGGTACAGAGAACTCGGAATGCCTTTTGTGTATGAATCACAAAAATTCCGTATCTAGATACAACAAGTAATTCAGAAGGAAAATTAAATATTGGCTTTATTGGCAGGGGAGCTGGAGTATAAAAATAGCAAAAACTTGCTATACCTCTGTACAGAGACAACACAGTACGGAGCTGGAGGAACACAGCAGGCCAGGCAGCATTAGAGGAGCAGGAAGGTTGACGTTTCAGGTCGGGCCCTTCTTCAGAAATCTGCTGGGCCAGCGGCTGAAATCTGAAGAAGGGTCCTGACCCGAAACATCAACCTTCCTGTTCCTCTGATGCTGCCTGGCCTGCTGTGTTTCTCCAGCTCCATACTGTGTTGTCTCTGACTCCAGCATCTGCAGTTCTTGCTGTCTCTATACCTGTATACAGACTGTCAGTGTGTCTGCATTCAGATTTCTTCACGCTATTTTGGCTGCGATTTATAAAGGGACAAAATTGCCAGTCAGAGAATGCTTCCCTAAATTGATTCCTGGGGTGAAGGCATTGCCTAATGTGGAAAGTTTGACAGGTTGGACCTATACCTATTGGAATGTAGAAAAATGAAACTAAGTATTATCGAAACACATATGATTCTGAGGGGACTCAAAAGCAGATGCTGAAAGAATATTTTCAATTGTATGTGAATAAAGGGTCTCTCACTAGAGCCATCGGAAGATTATAACACAAGAGGCCATTTAACTCATCATGTATGCACTGGCTGGTGCAAAAAATACTTGCTGCGCATTCTAGTCTCATCTTCCAGCACCGGGTCTATAGCCTTGCAGAATCCACCACTTCAAGTTCAGATCATGATCTAAATGAGTTGAGGGTTTTTACCTCAACCACTAAATCAGGGGTAGCACTAAACGACAACCTATTTAATTGTTTCTAAAATATATTCAGTGAATTTGCCTCCACAGCCTTCTGTGGTAGAGAATTCCACAGATTCCCATTGCCCTCTGAAAAGATTTCTCCTCCTCGCAGACTGATATGGCCTACCCCATATCCTAAGACTGAAAGCAACAAATGCTGGAGATCACAGTGTGTCAGACAGCATCCATGGAGAGAGAGCAAGCTAACGTTTCAAGTCTAGATGTCTCTTCATCAGACTGTTGCTCAAGTCATCTAGACTTGAAACGTTAGCTTACTCTCTCTTCGTGGATGCTGTCTGACCCACTGTGATCTCCAGCATTTGTTGTTTTCAGCACAGATTGGTCCCAAATCCTGAGACCGTGACCACTTGTTCTGAACCACTTAGCCAAAGGAACATCATCTTTGGATCCAATTTGTCCAGCCCTATCAGAACTTTGTGTTTCTATTGAACCTCAGAATGATCGTTATTTATCATCATCAGAATTCTGAGGAAGGGTCACTGGACCCAAAACGTTAACTCTGATTTCTCACCGCAGGGATGCTGTCAGGCCTACTGAGCTCTACCAGCAATTTCTGTTTTTGTTTCTGATTTCCAACATCTGCGGTTCTTTCAGTTTTCACACTTATCCACGTTTGTCCACTGATGCAACTTGTCTAGATCATTCTCTATCATCTCAGTATTATCCTCATCCCTCTCAATTTCACCAAGTTTTCCCTCGCTGTCTCTCGCTCAAGCTCGCTTAGTCTCTGATGCCCTTTCATTCTCTCTCCGTGGTCTCGCTTCAACCACACCAAATTAACCCAATGCTCAAATATGTAGTTGTTTGCAAAGCTTAAAAATCCAAGCAATTCCACTCAGTAACCGGCTTCAGAGTGAAGAGTCCTATGCTATATTTGCAATTGAGTTCATAAATCTTCATTCCCATTGACTGTGGGAGTCAATCATAAGTGTATGGCCGTATTTGGTTGTAAAAGTATTTACCCAAACTAGTATGATCATTTACAATCTCAGTAATTTGGAACAAATTACAACAGTAACAGGACAGATTATGTTTTATATATTTTATTTGTAAGCAAGAATTGTTTATGAATTATTTAAATAAATCCAAGGACTTGCAAAGATTGAGGATAAGTAAGAAATGTGGAAAGATAAAGTGGAAGTGTCATTAGTAGCTTCCTGCCCTTCATCTGCAGCAATCTCCCTCAATTCAGTTTGATTGCTCGTCAGGAAAGGCCACCTGCTATCCCAGCATCCTGGCCTATATATGATCGTTCCATCCAAATAGTTGATTCTAAATTCCTTCAGGGAATGAATGTTGTTTCACCAGTGTTATCCATATTTCCAAAACAACCTTCTTATTAAAGGGTTTTTCAGAGGTAGAATGTATTTATTTGGCTAATTGTATCGTTGAATCACTGTTAATAAATGCAAATTAAACAATGTTTCATGTTCCATATATTTTAAGATGGTTGCATTTATGGACAATAAACATGGAAAATATTTAATTACTGTAGTCAGCCTTTGCCTTATTTCCGTTGAATACCCAGTATCAGGATTAGTTCTATATCTATCAGAAAAAAAACACACACCAAATAGAGCTGTGTATAATTTCAGAATGTGATTTTTATTTATCGTTAAATGTTTTTGTGGAAAAGAAATCATAATTCAGCTGCAAATGGGAAAGTATTGGAACCTGTAACATAATTTACAGGTATAAATTTACTTATTTATTATCAGATCAAGTGTGTAATGATGCCTGCTCTTGCATTTTATTTCCTTGCAGTCATTTACAGACATGTTGCACAGGCCATTATTGGTAGACCTCACAGTGGAGGAAGGGCAGAGGCTAAAAGTGATCTATGGCTCCAGTGCTGGCTTCCATGCTGTTGATGTGGACTCAGGAACTGTCTATGACATTTATCTGCCAACACATGTAAGATTACATTCTTCATCTTTGTACAAAATAAATCTTAAAATAAACTTTTTGAAATGATTTACGATTATGGTGTTCAAATACTTCATAAAGTTTATGAAACTCTTGTTTGGTGTCAGATTATGCACTAATATTCAAAATTTAGTTTCAGTTGAGACAAATCTGAAGTTGTCAAAATGACTAATTATTTTGTCCTTCTACAATTGGAAATTGGTAAAAGCTATAAGCGTATATCCTCTTGGTACAAACTTCACAATTCTGAATGTATATATGTTATTATTCTGGAAACGTAAATCAAAATGGTGGAAATAGGATTTCATACTGTAAAACAAAATTTCAACATTATTTATCTTGCAGTTCAGTTTTGGATCAAAATGTGTTTCTTGGAAACTCAGTAACAAAAAGCAACATTGAGGCTCTAATGGCTGAGTCTTTGATGCAGTAGTGTAAATTAATTTCCGAATTTGTGTAACTTATCTGTCAACATTGTAAGCGTTTGCATTGCGAATTACCGTTGAACTGACCTGAAATTTGCGCAAGATTTAGAGTTTGAGTCATGTGTTTCTCATTACAAGGTTCAAAGGTATCCATAAAGCTGATGCATTTTTACGACAGCCAATCTTTAGCCCATCACCCCTTCTTTGTAGATGTACATTAAATGCCACCAGCAAACGATGTGTATAGATGAAGGGAATATGTTGTCTGTTTCAAGCCATTAACAGACTTAGTATGGAAGTGAGGATATGCAGTCTTGGATGGGCTGTGCCTGTGTATACAGAGTGATGACCAAAGGACTGAAAGAAGTAAGGATAAGTGGATATTTTCTAAGTAGTGGAAAGGGTCATAGTATGTGCTAGTATCTGTGCTGTTACTTAATTTGTTTTTAAATGATTTGGAGTTTGACATGCAGGAATACTATTAA